TATTTCTTATTCTGTATGGTGATGATTATAATGATTGTTTAAAATATTAGAACTATGAATATTTAAGGTAAAATCTTTAAATAATAACAGTCAAATTGAAAAGGTGAGGTGCCACCAGTGCACATTTCAACTCGCGAATTGCGAGATTTTGGCATCCGAGTGAAAAGGGTTAATATACTACTGATGAAAATTAATGCATCTGAGTGGAAGAGGTTAAAAATTAGCCAACTTCAACAAAAATATAAAGCTTTCCAGTCTAGTTGATGGCACTTTAGTGTAAAATCGCTTAAAATATAGTTGGGTTTGATACGCTCTTGGGCCATTAGCAGCGGATATCTTGTTTTTTTTGGTTTTGTTTTTGTTTTTGTTTATTTGTGGCACATTACTTAAATTTTCTATTTTTTGTTAAATGCATGAATTCGTGTTTATAAATTAAGTTATAGGAATTCTTTGTCCGTGTTGCATTTTGAAGTCATTATCTTATTACCCAAACATTTGAATGATTTTGTTTTAGTCTAAGCCGTTTCGCAATACAAACCATCGTTAAACGAGGACTTCCTGTGTTTCCAAATTCGAGACTTATCTTAATGAAATTTTATTTATATGCTTCGATATGATTATTATTCCACCTACTATTTTACAACTTATTTTATACTTTTAGTTGTTCTACAAGTATCTGTACTGCTGTTGCTGTTGCTGCTGCACCATTTACAGATGACGACGACGATACTAATTTTCGTGACGATCATCATAACTAATAAAGTAACTCATGTCTTTTGGAGATCTTTAGCGCAAAGACGCTATCATATTCAGATCTGTACAGGCGCCTAGAATGCATAATATAGTTTGAACATCAATAAAATTGGTTTAAAGTTTTGTGGAGAAGCAGTTTATAAATGGGAAAGCACTAAAAAGACAATAATTGTATATCCTATGAGAGCTTTAAAGCACTGAAAACATTTACTATTTACAGAATTGGAAAAGGTTTGCAAAAAAAAACAATAGAAGGGGTTGATATTTCCTTACTTATAAGTTCGTCAAATTTGAATTTACGTTGAATAATATGTAGAAGATTTTTTGCAATATAGTAGCATGTTTAAGGCGCAATGAGAAAGATTTTTAATGTTGGGATTTTGCATACAGCTATGAGGCGCAATGAAAAAGATTTTTAATGTTGAGATTTACAGCTACATATAATTTTAAGACAACGTGCTGGTTAAATATTTGAGACTTAGTGTTCATTTTTGATAGCAGCAGATTTCAAGTTATTGAAAAACAACTTAATTCATAAAACAATACGAAGTTATATTGATGGAGGACAAAATATCACATATTTTATGTATAAGTGTAAATGGATCGTCTGCTAGAATGTTACTAATCTGGCTTCTGGTTAAAATAATTCAAGGTACTCTCTTAGATATTTATTGGAGAAAAAGGAACTTTAAATCACTGATTGGTTATGCTGGCCTCAAACCAGCTTTTTAGCATTGGAAGTCTGCTTACAAGACATTGTCTTACTACGTTATTTAGAAATCAATATTAACTAGTAATTGAGAATAATGACTATCCGATTTTAAATTTTATGTTGTCAGATGGAAGTCCTGTGCAGCGCATTTTACTTATGGAATATTTCATATCATTTAACTTTTGACTATTGCTCCTCTTTGTGTATATTTCCTTAGAAACTTGACAGAACTCTTGTGTAAGTCACATTTTTTAAATTGTTTCTTGCGCTAATTCATGTCATACGTTGTTGAATTATGGTATCGCAAACAGAATTTGGCATTTGTACCGTGGTAAGTTCATTCGACTTAGTAGAGGAAATTTTTTTTAGAAGTGTGGCAATACCCATTTTAATGATTATTTATAGTTTCTCTGAATATGTGTTTCTGAATCGTAATAAAGTGTCTAACAATATAGTTGCCATAACAAATGTGCACTGCAGTATCTTCCTCATTAGCTTCTGTTTTGCTTTTTTTTCTTTTACATAGATTCTAAATCATATTTTTAATAGTACAAGGGCAATAAAAAAGACATTTGTCCATCTATTTTCCTAAGTTATGTTAAAAAGGCTAATATTGTAGGTTTGTCAATATGATCACGAAGGCCTTATCAGAAAACAACTGACATAATAATGCAATTGCCATTGAATTAGGTTTTTGACATTCATTCAAATTTATAAATGTTTTTTCTCACGTTGTATTTTTTTTGTATGATTGTTGTCACATTTTTCGGTGCTTGGTTTAAAAATTAAAAAAAAAAAGAAAATCGAATAGTATTGTGCTCGGTATCAAAAATTAGTTTAACGTCTTAGTACTGTTTGACAAATCTCGTCCAGGTGTTCCGAAAAGGCTGTCGTGGAAGCTAACATGACTTTAGGCTGCGATCCCGAATTGGCAGCACGCCGACTGAAGGTATGCGACATGGGACAGTACGTATACTTAGCACCGCGATGGTGGAAATTGGTAAAACTGATATACCTTGATTTTTTGACGTTTTGTTTTTGCTGTCGATTGGTGTAAACTAAAATTTTTTTGCTCTTTCCATTCTCGAGATAAATGGGCAAAAAAATTGGGCATTTTCAAAATTGTCAATTTTTTTAAATTGGCAAATTTGGGAATTTTCCGATGCGTGAAAATCTATGATGGGCAAAACTTTTCTGAAAAATAATTGCACCATTCGACAGCGAAAAAAATCACTGATAACGATAGAAAAAGAAATATTTATTTTTTTGCATTTTTAGAGGGGTCGGTGCTGACTATACATATAGTTAGCATCGACTTTGGCTCCACTCATTTATCTCGAGAACGATCAGCAAAAAAATTTTAGTTTGCACCAATCGACAGCAAAAAAATCGTCAAGAAATCAGGGTATATCAGTTTTGCCAATTTCCCCCATCGCGGTGCTAAGTATACACACGTCGCAACAAAGTTGTTGGTGTCAACAGTGCTTCTTACCTAACGGCAATAATCACAATTCCGGAAACATAATTTAGACTGTTTTTATGCAATGTTAATAGTAGTATAGCTTTCAAATCATTACATACAAGGTGTTCCAGACCTTGACGTGAAGCCGAAACGACGTGATAGTATTGACCTTAACTGTTCTGAGAAAATTTAGAGAAAAAATATCTTGTTTTTTGGAAGTTATGAGTTTTTAAGTTAACCTAGAGCTTTGGTGAAATTATGACCATTATTCGGTTATTGTAGTTAACTTTTTTTAAACTTTGTTTATCACCTGCTCTTTATCGCATAAAAGATTTCGCTGATGGCGGCTTCTTTGATTTTAACTATTCGGCTGAATAGTGTTACTGTTCGGTATTCGGCCGAATATCAAAAAAGGTGCCGAATATGCCGACTACCGAATGATAAGGTGTTGAATATGCCGACTACCGAATAGTAACCGAATATTTGGTGCAAGCCTAATATATATATATTATTATTATTATTATTATTATTATTATTATTATTATTATTATTATTATTATTATTATTATTAATTGTGCCCGAAGGCAGTTTCATACTGTGAACCATGACTATTTTTTTTCTCTTTTCTAAACTCCTGCTTTCAAGCTTTCATGTTCTGTGCGTCGGCTTGGAATTCTTATATTTTCTTTCTTCCTTATACAAGTCGTCGATCATCTGCATTCTTTGCTCCCGTAGTCGTTTCGAACCTATTTTAGTTCCGATAGAGTCTTGCAGCAGGAAAAGTTTTCCGAATATGGTTCCGATCCAGTTTATTTTTGATTTCTTTACCGTACCGATTACTATTATTCTTTCTTCCGCTTCCGCTCTTCGTACTTATATATATATATATATATATATATATATATATTATATATATATATATATATATATATATAATATGAGAAATATAGGATACAAGAATTGAACTTAAATTATTTCTAGCTTTCAATAACACGCAGCCCTCAGAAACTTTCATAATGTTTAATTATTTCATAACCGTTACTATATGGATTTATATATATATATATATATATATATATATATATATATATATATATAAGTCGCTTAGGCACATATGATTTTGGGATACTAGGGATCAAAATAAGATACATACTGAAGAAACGATACCTCTAAAATGAATTCTGATGTCCCGTGCATTGACCCACAGATAGGGATTGAATGTTGAAAAATTCCGTTTTAACCTATTTAGACTGCTCCAATCGCGTCCAAATGTATAACAAACCCCAACTAACTTTGAAAGGCCGATCTACCTATGGTTCACCCCCTGGGACCTCCCCTTCGAGGTCTTCCATACAAATATTGCAAAAAATCATCGTTTTTGGTATTTTGCTCAGCAAAAAATATTCTTTTTAAACTTTTTTTTTCAATAATTAATTCACACACACAGAAAAACTTTTTTTACAAAAAAAATATTAAAATTCTTTGTTTCAATTTTTCCAATGCATTTTGTCTCTGCGTTTCTATGCTTGCGAAATGTTCCAGACTTGAAACTAAAAAAGACTTCAAACAATACTTTGAGTTTTACATAGTTTTATTTACATATGTTATGATTAAATAAATTTTATAATGAAGTACCCAAAATGATGCAACTTATGGTCTTCCAAAGTTACTGGGGGTCGGTCATACATTTGGACATTATTGGGGCGCTCTAAATGAGCCAAACAGGATTTTTCAAAATTTGACCCAATCTTTGGGTGAATGCACGGGACATCAGAATTCATTTTTGAAATATGGTTTCTTTGGCAAAGTATCTTATTTTGATCCCTAGTATACAAAAATCAGATGTGCCTATGCAACTTTTTTTACCCATACAAATCGACTCGCCCTATATATATATATATATATATATATATATATATATATATATATATATATATATTGTTTATATGATATTTTCTTGTAATAGAGAATACACTAATTTCTATAATCACATTACATTTCATGTATCATAGGGAACTAATTTATACGTTTTCAGCCATAAATATTTAATAGATAGATTTTCTTCTATTTCAGGCGATAGGTGCGAATTGTCCTTCTCTGCCGCCCAGAGAACAATTGGCTGTTCTCGATGCGTTAGGTTGTGCTAGACAACAATTGCAACAAACTGAGTTAAGGTACTTCATTTTTATGTTACAGCACCCATAAACATTATTATTGGGCTTCCTTCTCTCCCTTATTAACTTCCCGTAGGGCAAGTTATAGTAATCGCAAAAAAATCGAAAATGAAAATTTTTGTATATCTTTACGCTTTAGAGGTTTCTGAATATTTTGGCATACCTTAGTAAAAATGGATGTATGTGTGTGTGTGTGCGTGCGTGCGTGTGTGTGCGGATACAAATTTTCGTCGACGATTTCGGGAACACAGATCAACCGATTTGAATAATTCAAAAAACATTCGATTCGTATTGATAAGGAGACGTGCTGATTAGTTTTTGGCGAAGGCAGGTCTAGCCGTTCCGAAGATACGGGGCAAAAGGTGCCAAAAATGGTAACTTAGTTTTTAAGAGAACGAAGAGTCCGATTTTAATAATTCAACAAACATTTTACTTGTATTGACAAGATGAAGAATTGATAAAATTTTCATGAAGGCAGGTCTAGCGGTTTCGGAGATCGGAGAAAAAAGTAAAAAAAAATGCCATTTGGTTGTCAAAAATGATCATTAGACATATGCACGTCAAATTATCAGATATTTTATAGACATTTTAACAATAAGTATTTTTTTTTACATTTCTATGGGTTCCGTACCAATGCTTATCCGTTAGACGGCGGCGCGGCACTTACGCGCTTTGACATTTCGTCTCTGTGCAGTTCAAGCAGTACGATTGCTTTGAAAAAAAGTTCAGAATTTCCAAAATATGTCAAAATGAAGAAAACATTTTTTTTCAAAAAAATTTTGTTTTCAAAAAAAAAATGTTATCTCAAAAACAAGTATTTTTTTGTGAAATTTATAGTTTCTCAAAAATCTAATTTTTTGAAGTAAATTTTTTTCAAAAACGTTAATCGTTTTTAAAAAAATAATAATTTTTGGTACGGAAAGTTCCAGCAATTTGCCTTAAGGCACGATGCCCTAATTGCCTTAAGACAGAATTCCACTTACAGCTAGTTTATAGTTTACTTTATGCTACTGAAACCTGCAGCATGTTTTTTTTTATTTGTACCTTGACTTTCAAGTCTCTGTATTACCTTTTCTCGTGTAAGTCGTCCAGCTTCTGCATTTCTCTTTGCCCTAATCCATCCCTAGTCCATCTATTCATCTATCCATGACGATGTGCAAAAGGCATTATTTTCCAGTATTAATTTCCGATCCCTTATTCAGGGACTTGAATATAAGGGATCGGCACTTATCAATGCACTTTTTTTTGTATTACTCCAATCTGTTTTTCAACGAAGGACATATTTTTCAGCATTAGTCGAAGCTCTTATTTTAAAAAAATCGGGTACTGTAAGTTCCTCTCTTCGAAGTATTTCCTCATTTGTTTCCTTGCCTGTCCATTTTTTGCCCATTTTTTTCTAACTTCTCATCTCGAATTTTCCTAACAATAAGTGATTTTTGTTCTTGTTCTTTCTTAGAGCCCTTTACTAATACTTTTTGTCAATAGTGATGCCGCGCTTGCCAGAGCTATTGAATCGTGTTCGCCGCCATTCAGCGACACAGATCCTGATTTGCTGCTTTTAAAGGTATAACTATAATATTAAATAAATAATTCTAGAATTTCACACATTACAATATATTCAGGCCACGTCTGCAGCCAGTACCCATTGTCTCCTCCAATGCTTGGGCCTTCTGCAAAGGCAACGCCAGCAGTATCAATATTCAAATACAGAACCGGGAATGCCATAACTTATAAATTATGTAAAAATGTAAATGCGATTCTGTCAACCAAATCACACAACCAAACACATTATGAAATTTTTCAAAATAGTAAATCGCAAGTGAGCACCTTATAATGAATAAAATTAATATATTTAGATGGTGCATTTATCTTTCCACTATTTTTAAAACTTATATGTACATACGTTACATAATAGTATTTAATATTGTAATATTCTGCATAAATATATGGTGATTTTATATATATCGTCTTACTAATATTCTGATTGATCTATTTTTTTATCACACATAATCAGATTCAACTCGTGCAATGAAGATAATGTATCAATACCTTTATCGTTAAGTAATTATAGTAAAGTACTCTTCGCAGTGAATAAAATTCAACTTAAACCGTCACAGAGCCAGTAACTGGGTTTCGGATTTGTCTGAATGAGAATTCGTATTTCATCGCTTACTGTGTTGATGTCGGCGTCTTTATGGATTACTTAATTTGGTGCATACTTTGGAGCATTCAAAATATATTTTAATATTTTATTTTGACATCTTTGAATTTTTAAAACACACGATTTGAAAGCTGGTCCCCGTAGTTGAATACTGTATGTCCAAATTGGCTTAATAATGGATTTGTACAATTGAATTCTGTTTTGCTTGTCAAGTTTTGATTCCCTCCCGAGGAGTAGTGATATTTCCCTCTCATCTTTTCAAGTTGTTGTCTCTTTGCTCTTGTCTAAATATAAACCCAGATTTTTCACTGTGTTTGTTTGTTCTATAATATCATCTTATCATTGAGAGGCATGTCCCTTTACGAAGAGTAAAAGTGTTAGCCTTGCCAATGTTCACTCCGAAGAAAACATAGTGGGCAAAATACGAATTCGGCAGAAGGAAGGATATGGAAAATATATTGGTCGACTTCATTTGCAAAAACAATAATGATCACAAACACGTGATTTAAAAAGGGAAATACGAAGCTGTATACATTCAAGAGCCCAGGAGAAAAATGACGATAATGGACATAGGATACAAGAATTTGATTGAGCACAAAAAAATTTTAAGCTTCTGGGAGAAATATTTTGAGAAATTATACGATAGAGAAAGTCGTTCCGACAATATTGAGAGCAAAGAAGAAGAGATGAACGAAGACGACAAGGGATCCTGCATGTGGAGGAGTGAAGTCGAGAGGGGATGACAGATACCGGCGGAGCTGCTGAAAGAGTTGGGTAACAATGGATTAAGAAAATTGACCCAACTGCTGAACTAAATATATAGACTAAGAGCTGCTGAACCTTTTGAGTAACTGTGTTCTTGTAAGGCTAAAAATTACCGTACTGGTGATTCTTCGCATGCTAAGTACGTAAACCATTTTTCGTTTCAGTTCGGCCAGGCGAAGGATATTATCATTCACAAGGAGTTTGGAAATGCAAAATATTGAAAATTGTTCCTGTACGCTTCAAATTTTTATGTGATTCAATTGATTCATTGAGAAGATCAAAAATCAAATTGCCACGCGATTTCAATCTACACAAGTACGTGCTGCCAGGCGAGCCGAAAAGTTAACTTTTATGAGCAAGTTGTATATACATAAGGTTAAAATTTATAGATGTGTTTGTCTATGCGATTTTATTTTAAATTTATTTATTTTAAAAGTATGTACAATGCCGTGGCGATTCTGTTAAGCCTAAGCCCTTACCAGGCCAGGGAAAAGATCACAGTCTTTTTCACATAGAAGCGGGAGTGCAAGTAATCTAACAGGCACAACGCGAGAACTTATATCATACCTGTAAATTATATTATGTAAAAGTTGAAAAATAAAATTATGTTTACAGCGTTTGACACGATGTGTTTGAAGAAGAAAGAACGATAATGAAGAGGAAAGGAAACTGCATCGTATCCATATTGCAAAAACGTGCCTGCTGCACGATGTCGTCGGCTGAAAGGAGAGGTATATATTAGGCTTGCACCGAGAGATATATATTAGGCTTGCACCGTGTATTTGGTTACTATTCGGTATTCGGCACCTTTTTTGATATTTAGTCGAATACCGAATAGTAACTTACTATTCGGCTGAATACCGAATAGTTAAAATCAAAGGAGCCGCCGCCGCTCAGCAAAAATATTGTGTGTGTGTGTTTTAACTTGTATGCGATAAAGAGCTTGCAATTTATCTTTATATTTGGAAGTCTTTAGTTAACATATTGTGATATGAAGAAATGAATTCGTTATTGCATTTTGTATATTTAATAATTTGATCTTTATCTACTTTTGAGATTATAAACGAACATCCGAAGAACTCTTCTCAATATTCAAAGGACACGTTGTTGCTATATATTTATTTAATAAGAATCATTCAACGGTTACACGCATGTTTTATCTATATTCAATAAAGTCATTTACATTCTATCCAAGCATTTCTAAATAAAAAGATATAATAGGCTATTTATCACAAAAAATACGAACAATATCTTTAGTCAGTTTTTATTTATTTTATTATGATTAGGCTTTCTAATATATAAGAAAAATTATTATGTTTATAAAAGTAAATATTAAATATTAATGAAAGAAACACTTGGAAGTACATTTATATATATATGTAAAAAATCACTTTTTAATTCATAATCCTATCACATATGTTATTTAATAATTTGGTATTCGGCCGAATAGTATAAAAGGTGCCAAATTTTTCAAATATGAAACCGTAGCCGTATAGTCGTTGCAAGCCTGGGCATAAAAATTGAGTATACATCAATTTATACTTATTTATCTATGGTATACATGTAGTACGTTAGCAGTATAACAACTGTGAATAGTAATTAGTAATTACTAATTACATTAATGCGAAGGAGTTTAGGCGCTAAAAATTTGCCGAATATTTGGTATTCGGTCTCTGGAGCATGCCGAATATTCGGTATTCGGCATTTTGCCGAATATACTATTTGTTGCAAGTTTAGTATTTATATATATATATATATATATATATATATATATATATATATATATATACTGAATACCAAATATTTGACAAACACTGCGTCCCAATAGGCGGATGTAGGCTGTATTTTAGCACCAAAACTTGTATATTTCTGTGGTTGTATCGCGACAGTTCAAGTAATCTTAATCCTTACTTAATTTTTGACCCCGCCTTACGAGCGACTCGAGTTTTTTGAGATACGAGCCACCAAAGAAACGGCTCGTTTTTTTCGTCGTACGAGTAAAATTCGAGATACGAACCGCCAAAGGAGCGATTCGTTGCTTCGTCATACACGCAATATTCGAGATACATGCGAGTGAGAGGAGTAACGTAAACTTATGGCGGTGCGAATGAAACATATCCATCTGAATACCAATTGTAACAAGGATTTTCTTATGTCAAATCGCATTTAATTATTAAAGAAATATTAAAAATAAATTATTTTGAAGTTAAAAAATTCAAGTGCGAAGTGGGACACAGTTGAAAAGTTTGTTGATGAAAATTACTTTGAAAAAGGTGCAGCTGGTCCAGCATCAGCGTTGTTCGATAAGACATGTCCAACTATTTTTATTTATTCTCTATTTTATTCACAACTGTCCAGTTAAGGACATTAAATAAATTTGATGAATTTACAATTATCAGCCGTAAGGGACATTGTATACTAAATGGGCATGTTGGAAAAGCAACTCAATAGTTGTTTTTCCATTCGTTTTAATATTAACAATATTTTATTGATAATGATATAATCTTAACTATTTACTTTCATATATATATTCATTTCACTAAGTTATTCCAATCTTGATCAGGAAAATTGATGACATAAATCCAGTGGCGCTTTTCTTTTCAACCTACGTCTATAGTTCTCTGTTATTAAGGTATCATTTTTGTAATGCTATAATGAGTTGCTTATTGGATAGTTTTTTTTTAAACTCAAAAACTAGTAACTCTCCTTTTATTTAGCAGTTTGCTATGTTTTTGCAGAATATGTATTTGATTTTAGCAATAAATGTTTTATTTATTTTCATCTTATATATAAAAATGGAGCTCTCGATCAAATGATCCGGTAAAACTCAAAAACGGCTAAACCGATTTGGCCAGTCTTGGTCTTGAAAAATTCGTGCTAATCAGTAGGTGGTCGGAAAAGTGAGATATTATTTCAAAATCGCGTAGAAACTTTACATTTTTAATTTGAAAAGAAACTCAAAATATCAACTTTTTTGAAATGTTAATATGAAAATGCACTTTCTGGCATTGTAGCACTCTTTTTTTGCAAGTCATATTTTTCTCAAACACGGTGCTCTGAAAAATCTCATTTGTTTAATTAAATACTCATTGGCACTTAAACATTTTCTAGGTTATATTGTTTTTTATTTATGTTATTTCAATTCAGAACCTAAATTTGGTATCGATCAAAGGAACATTTTGTCGAATAACATTTTCCCAGTTATAATTTCCCAAAATTTATCGAAAAATAGACAGTAAAATATGAAGGTCCGGGGTTAAAAACAGTGGCGTAACTAGGCCACCCGGGGCCCGTGGCAAATTTTTTTGATGGGGCCCCCCCCATCAGTAAAATCAAGTGGTTTTAATTTAATTTAAAAAAAACGAAATTTTTCAACGTGTTGATTTAAATGATATATATATATATATATATATATATATATATATATATATATATATATCCACGATTTGTAATGAATTGTATTAAAAATGAGTAAATCTACTTCGACTTATTCATATTTTATGGTTTTAAATTAAGAAATTATTTAAAATGTATGTATGCAAAATTAAAAAAAAAATGTATAAGTACAAGAAAACATAAAAATAAAAATAATTATAAGTCAAAATTAATAATTTAAAAGTACAATTACTACTTTGTTTTGAAAATCAAACATAAAATTTTTGTGTTTAAACATTGAACTATAGAAAGGATTTTTTTATGACTGAATTCAACAGAGAAAGAACATAGTACTTTGGGGTTAAAAATAATTATTACATAACCTAACATTAACAATCAATTTTTCACGTGTTTTCTCAACAATCAAATCCTTTTTAATACTTTTTGAAAACTTCGTATTCGTCATATACTCGCTGGCCCTTTTTGGTGAAGAAACTTATTTAAAATATGCATAAATTTGG